ACAGAGCCAGACCTATTTTTTGTTGCTGTTGTTGTTCTCTTTCTGCAGTAAAGGCTTCTGAACATAAAGGAGAGAATTTTCGAGACGCAAGTGAACGACTGGAGCTTAAAAGACATTCTCAGTGTTTTCTTGTGTACATGCAGTATCTGAGGTTCTCTTTCCCAGTATTTTATTAATGAAAGCACTTTGATTGTGGTGATGGTGTGACGAAGGCCAGGGACAATAATAATAATAATAATGATAATGATAAAGTTGGAAGGGACCTTGGAGGTCATCTAGTCCAACCTTCTGCTCAGGCAGGAAACCCTATACCATTTCAGACAAATGGCTGTCCAGTCTCTTCATAAAAACTTCCAATGTTGGAGCATTCACCGCTTCTGGAGGCAGGTTGTTCCACTGGTGAATTGTTCTAACTGTCAGGAAGTTTCTCCTTAGTTCTAGGTTGTTTCTCTCCTTGATTAGTTTCCATCCGTTTCTTCTCGTCCTGCCCTCTGGTGCTTTGGAGAATAGCTTGACTCCCTCTTCTTTGGGGCAGCCCCTGAGATACTGGAACACTGCTATCATGTCCCCCCTCGTCCTTCTCTTCGTTAAACTAGACATACCCAATTCCAGCAACTCTGGCATTTTTCCCGTCAGAGGTACCAACTTGTTCTTGTGAATTAAAGGTTTTGGCCTGTTCAGTTTGGCAAAGAGATGATCTTCGGCTATTTCAATCGTTACTGAGACAAATCTTGCCAAGGCTGGCAAAGCTAGCTTAAATGCAATAATTTGCCTATTTTTTCTTCTTCTCAAGATAAGGGCATATGGACTGGGGCTGCATAGCCATGAGCATTTCCCAAAACTCTGATGTGTGGTATCTGCGGACGTCCCATCACTGTTACCGAATGGTAATTTTTAATGTGACAAAAGGGCAAAGTCATTATACACACGACTGAACAGTAATCATACTGACTGTATTTAATCTTAATTGAGCGTAAATTTAAATACAATCAAAGAACGTGCATTTCTTGGGCCCCACATTCTTGAACCGCAGCCTGCAAGACGCTATTCAGAGACCAAGACTAATCCTCAGCTTAGAAAACGCGGAATATTTCAGACTAAATTGCAGCTGGAGATGTTTAATTGTAATATACCAATAAAAATCATACTGGATTGCTATTAAAAAAAGTGCAAAAATCCATAGGGTACTTCGGCTTTAAACATAAAAGAATCTATGGGATAACACTAAAGTTTAAGCCTATAAAATGTGGAAAGGCACAGATGGCCTGTGGTTTTAATAAGTAATGAATATATGCATAAAATCTACAGCTAATGTATTAGAACTCAGGCAGTGTTGTTGATCAGACAATTAGTTGTCACTTTTTAGGGCAGCGGTTAAGAACAACTGAAGTAAGATACATGAAAAATTCAGAATATTCAAAAGCACCAAATGTATACGCCAACAATTATGTTTATTCCTGTACTGTATCGCTTGAAGGAGAATGATGAACTAATTTCATCCCTGTGTTCTCTTGTATTTTTTTTAAAGTTTTTTATTTATAATACAGTTAAAAAAAGAAAATATTGGGCATGACGTAAGTTCCTTCCCTTATAAGCTAGAGGGTCTGTCTATTACCTTAAATTTTTAGGAGCTGTCAGGGGCTAATCTAATAACTGCTGTTTTCATCATATGTTTGACTGCAGAGTGGGGAAAAAAAAACAGCGCTGAATTTTATCGCCCAAGAAGCAACTATGATATTGCTTGCAACAACAGGCTATTAATATTTAAAATCCAACTTCTCAAAGCCATCCATATTTATTCATCATAAGGCCTTAATTTGGGGTTGAATTCAGGAGAAGCCCCACTTATCTCTCCTCCGACCTGCATTTGCAATTTGTACCGTTAACATCATCCACTTCTTCAAAGGCCCGTTTTGCAGATCTTACGTGTTGCAACCGTTACTGTACAAGTCAAACATGGTAAGGTGTCCTTAAGACCACACAGAGATTGGGAAATGTCCTTTTGATGAACAAACTGGACTGTTAGTAAAGGTGACTAGTTATTCTCTATAGTCACTAGAGGAGGATCAGAGTCCTACAAAGTGACATACGTTCTCCTAGATTAAGGGTTGTCCAACTTTGGCAACTTTTAAGACGTGTGGACTTCAGCTCCCAGAATTCCTTTGGCTAGGGAATTAATATAAATCCTTAATGTTGCCAAGGTTGGACACCTCTGTCTTAGATGGAATTCTCATGGATCATGGGTCTTCACAGCCTTATACTGATTGGGCTGCAGAAGATCTCTCCTATTGGGACAAAAGCAATTCTGTGAATTCATGGTTAAGATGAGCAATTCTCTTTTCTGATACACAATCTGATTTTGGCTAAAACTGAGAGAAATGTGGACATTAGGAAATACATGGATTTTTAAACTGCTTAAAAAGGAAACAGTTTTTTCAGATTTTACTTTAGAAAAATGATCTATGATTTATTGTGCCTACCTAATATTTAGACCAAGATTCTTGAATAAATCATGTCTTTCCCCCCACCTTTTCTTTTGCAATTCAGTCTGTTCTGAAATGCTCATATTTCTGTCATACAACCTAAATCTCTGGAGTCTGATCAAAAGCCTTCTTTCCCACATATACAGAGTCGTTCTAGCCCAGATGAATGCACATTTGGCTATTCAATAATTTTGAGTATTTTAGAAACCACACAGTCATGACTCATATTTCTGATTTCTTGATGTTGAATTAGGTGCAGAACTGGAGAAATGTTAGAGAGACCTCTCCAGGGTTTGTTTGTTTTCAGTTTTAATTTACTTACTTGCTTAACTTTATTGTGGTCATTAACCAGTTGAAGACAATTGGCATTCTAATATTTAAAATATCCAAAACTAAATTGACAATATCGGGACAGTTTTAAAAAATGTACAGACAAAAGAAAAATTGGCTGCAAGACAGTATTGCATTAGAATATGTTGAACAGGCTTGCTTAGGCTACACATATACAACAACAAGAAATTAAAATTAACAAGCTGGATAATATAACTTGAAACAGCAGCATAAAATACAAATACTATACAGATGCTAACCGGTCAGGTATCTTCCTAGCGAATTTAAATTTGGGTAGTTCTAGTTTTTTACTGCTTTTATTCTTTTGCACTATTTGTAGTATTTTATTTGTAATAGGTTTTTTTGAATTGTAAGTCATTGACTGAGATGGGTGGCTACTGAAATTGAATAAATATATTACACATATGTGTGTGTGTGTATGTCTCTCTCTCTCTTTCCACACACACACACAATGCCTCTCACATATTCATGCATATATATTCATAAATAAAACAACAAAATTATCCAAAAGGATTTAAGAATTATAAACTTCTCTTCAGATAAATGTCCTATAATAGCTGACATAGCACGTTCACCCCAATGGTTAATGCTGAGCCTCAGTCATTTCTGGCTATCCATATCGGGCAGGTTCAATTGCTCTTAATTATTTTTTGCCTGGTTTGCCACCACGCAAAACCTGGCAACCTTGTGTGCTATTTCAGGATTGATGTCAGCAAGTAGAAATTATTTATACTTCACTTTTAATTTATTACAATCAAAGATCAGCCAATTAAGAAAACCTCTTGGGAAGATCTTTCCTTTTTTGAAGGACCTGCACCAAAATAGCAAAAGTCTACATTGAATAATCATAATAATCATAATAAAAAGACTGGAATAGCCAAAGTTTCCCCTTATTGATCGTGCTGGCCATTGGCCTGGGTTAGCCTATAAATGTCAAATCCCTGGAAATTTAGTTGAGCTCATTTTCCAGGGAAAAGAATGCTTTAGAGACTCAGCCTTCGTTAGGATTTATATTTCTCTCTGTCCTTCTATCAAGGGACAGGTTTTTTCTTACCATCTGTGCACTAAAAATATTTTAATTTATTAAAAGCCCAGATGATTATAAAACCAGCCAGACTGACAGTTGTCCTGCTGAGATCCAGTCTGTTACCAGTTTGGAGTGGTTGAATACGGTATACGAAATGCTTATTATAATCTCCTTAATTATATGGGTACCTGCAGCCAACTGCTCCACAACACTGTATGTGATCGTGGTGCTAGCTCCCCCAAAATATTAAAAATATGCAAGCCTGGGAAAGTGCTGACTCTATTATTATTCATTAGCAGTAGGAAAAAAAAAAAACAGGGAAAAATATACGGCTGCATAAATAGATCCAATGAGTGCAATTAAGCCCCAAGTAAGGTCACAATGCATTTATTTAAAGCTGCATTAATTCTGTGCTCCCTGCCCTTAAGAGGAAGTCAACAGCAATGATCTTTTATCTTTCTTTTTTTTAGAAAAGCCTTTACCTATTCCCCCTCCCCCTTTTTTTAAAAAAAAATAAATGCATTTCATTTCCCCAACTTTTAGAGCAGTGGTTCTCAACCTTTTAAATGCCGCGACCCCAACCGGTCGTAAGTCGAGGACTAAACCGGTCGTAAGTCGAGGACTAAACCGGTCATAAGTCGAGGACTACCCAACTGGTCGTAAGTCGAGGACTTTCCCTGCCCGGGAGCGCCACGAATGCGTGGTTCCGCCCCCTGCGCCGGCCGAGGCGTAGCTGGCAAGCGGCAGAGACGGAGCAGGCCGACCACCAGCTAGCCCAGCCCAAGGGAGGTAAGGCACCCGCCGGAAAAGGGGGGAAAATGGCGGACAAAAAAAATGGCGGACAGCCTTGCTTGGCGACCCCCGTGAAATGGTCGATCGACCCCAAATGGGGTCCCGACCCACAGGTTGAGAACCACTGTTTTAGAGGATATTCTTATTACCTGGCTAGGAATATTCAGGACTTATCACTGCTTTTAACTCTTAACCACGTTCAGGATCCCTTGCAATCCCAAAGTCTAACGTTAGTGAGGGGTCATCTCTAAAGCAGGCAAATCTGTATTTGTGTTGTACAGTACCTGATATATGGAGGATCAGTACTTTGAAAAACCAAGGCCACAGTCAACAGAAAGTAATCTTACCTGAACCATTTTTCAAGTGTCCATTTGCATCTACAGTTGTATATCTAATATAAGGTCCTGGCTGATTCACACCAAAGGGCTGAAAGATAAGAGACATTGCATTATTTCCCTTCCTGGTCCTAAAAATTGGCACAAGAAACAATCATTCTCAATATCTTCCTCAAAACGGATTCCTTTTGTTGTTCGCAGTGTTTTTTTCCCCACGATTAGAAGAACAGAGTAGGTAGCTATTCTCCACCCATCTAAAATGAACTATACAGTTCCAGAATTATGTTTGTTAGGAATAACAGGAGCTAATTACAAGAAAGATTGCAGATATCTAATACTACACATATTAACCGCAACAAGAATTGTATTTGCCCGACATTGGAAAAATGAAAATTTACCAACTGAAGAAGTACTAATTAAGAAAATCCTAGAGTGTGCAGAAATGGATAGATTGACTTTAAAGATAAAAGAGAAAGAAGACTCCGTGTACTTTAGAACATGGGATAATTTTTATCAATGGCTAGAAAAAAGAGTCAGAGAGAAAGGAATGTGATATGTAATATATCTATATATATTTAGTAAGAAGAAGGCTATTGAGTGATGAATTAACCTATTGTTTATGATAGTGCTGTTGTAAGCACGAACGGTCATTAAACAAATGGCTGCAAGTCAAAAACTACCAGCACACATCTTCCAGCTTGTCTCTGGATAGGACTGGCTATAACAGCGATGGCGAACCTTTTAGAGACCGAGTGCCCAAACTGCAACCCAAAACCCACTTATGTATCGTCGGGTGCCGGGTAGGCGTGGCCCATTGGATGGGCGTGGCTGCGGTGGTAACGGCAGACTGGGTGGGACTAAAAAGTTCAATCAATCAATTCCAGCTTTGCGAGATCTTTTTTTT